ATATATGAGTACATATATATGCATATACATATATATATATATATATATACATACATACATACATATGTACATTTGATTAAAATGAAAGAAATAGTATCAGAGCCAAGTTTCACTATCTAATTTCGTTACTTTAATTTTTATCTTTCCAAAATAAGTGTATTATTAAAGCCGTATGTGACAGTACGCCTTATCCTGTGGAACCCTAAGTCGTGGTTGAGCATATATGCGTAGGGAGTAAGTCGTTAGTGTTATTTTCTCATTGACTGTGAAACAGGAAATAGGTAACTACGTTATTGACTAAATAACAAGCTTATTTAGGAATAGATCTCAATATTTAAGCAATAATGCTAGCTCTTCAGGCTTTCATATAAGCAATATAAAAAATATCGAGGAAATAATTATATCTAATATAGAAAAAAGCATACAAAATTGGAATATTCCCAAAGTTCCTACTTGCGAAATTTATAGAAAAGGTTCTTTCCAATTTAAAAGTGATTATGCTTAAAAACTGTTGAAAAGACTGTATGTATTCTTGAATCTCAAAATACAATATCTCTTATATCTAAAGACATAATAGAAGAATAGATATAATTATTTACACTTAGGGATAGTCCAAATGGCAGTTAAATCTTTAATTCGTACTGAACTCAATAATTCAGTCCTTCTCTATTTAAGAGACGTAAGACAGAGAAAATTTTTTGAGTCCTTATTTGGGATCATTGAATCCAGCCTCTGTGAAGGCCCTATATACTTTAATTGTTATCCAAATTTTTCAGTTTCTTTTACCATCCCTAATCTTCTAAAGGTTTTAACTTAAAATCTCAAAACTGATGGGTTTGATATGAAAACTGGGTCCCAAAATGTTGCAGTCATATATAGAATTTGCTATAAGGTTATGAATACTATACATCTCGATGTGAAGAAGATGGACAAAAGGGGACAAACCTTGTATTTCCAAACTAACGTAGAAAAATCAAATTTGATAGTTCCCAAGACTATAACATGGAATCAGGTAAATTTACCAGCTCAATGGAATCTATTAAATTAAACCTCTTCGAGATCTGTTCAGAATTCTAATGTTAATTCTATAATAGAGTTCCCTAGTGGGGAAGTCCAAATACAATTTAATCTTCAAAGGAGTACTAGAATTCATATTGCTTCCCAAACTCCTAAAATTCTAGCTAGGAGTTCTACCTCATCTATTCCTCATACAA